CTTTCAGCCATGGGGGAGTTATAAAGTGACGATCAATCCCACTATTCGTTGGTTAAAGAATAGCTCAAGAGTTGGCAGTGGGTTGTGATGACTAGTTGCCTTCCTTCTAGTCTTACACTGCTAAATTAGGGATGGATAGCGCAGATAGCCCTCGTGTAGCTTTACGCGAAATTCAAAACAAACAAACTTTATTGATATTTATAGCATTTCTATTGATAAATTTAGTAATGCTGTTAACTTAATACCAACATACGCAGTTCGTGAAGTTCTAGACGTATTTATTTTATGTATTAGATTTTTTAAAAGTAGAAGAGAATTATTTATGTACTTAAGTGTAAAGTTCGTAAAATTCAGCTAATATTTCATGAAACATAATTACTCTCAGAAATTCTTTTATGAAATTTGCAGAAATATCACCATATCAAATTAGCCTTCAAAAGATACAGAAAATGTAAACTTAGAGGCTCTCTTTAATTCAGTAACGCGGCTAAAACATGGTCATGTTGAGAAACAAAAACTTACTGCACACTGCATGACAGAACGAAGTACGTTATTGCACAGTGGACGTTTACTTCCGAATAAACAGGATGATGTACAATATCCGAGTTATGTCTACTTACTTAACCAACACCACTTATATCTGCTTTGAAAGTCTCTGCCACAGTTAGAGTGAATCAATATGGATCTTAGTACTTTCCTTGGGAACCCGTTTTCCCTAGAGCCAACCTGACAAAGTGCTGTTTGCTATTTTAAGCTATTCATTTGATCACCGCTTGGTCTCTGTATTTTTTTTAACACGTATTGACAGTATATACAGGAATTTGTCGGTTATCTCAGATGAAAGCTTTTTGTAAGTTGGCGAGAAAAAGAATAACACAATCGCATTGAATGTGAACAGTAGTTTGAATGTAAACAGTGGCGTCCAAAGATCTGGCGAAGTTTCAAACTGGCTACTTACAGTTTTTGCAAAAAAGTGCACTATCGTCATTGTGTACGTGAAATGTATTCTATTTGGCTTTATGAAATAAATAAATACCAACAAACGTAACAGAAGTACAGGATGTACAAAAATTATCTTTTCTATTTTGAACACAAATAAAACGATAACAAACATAGAGAAATTTAACTTGCAACATTTTGTAGGCCAACTCAAAACAGTTTTAATTGACACTATTTTCTTCCTTCCATCGCGCAAGTACGGATCAGGAAGAATACGTCATTTCCGTTGTTACTACAGGCAGGTTGCAGAGAACTTGAACTGAAATGGACATTGCCGTTGTTACTACAGGCAGGTTGCAGAGAACTTGAACTGAAATGGACATTGCCGTTGTTACTACAGGCAGGTTGCATAGAACTTGAACTGAAATGGACATTGCCGTTGTTACTACAGGCACGTTGCAGAGAACTTGAACTGAAATGGAAAACAGGTTGAACGTGCTGAGAACGAGCCTGAGGAGGGAAGAGGTCAAAACCACCTGACCCTCCCAGGTCTAGGAGATATAAGTCCCGACAAAGATCACAGACAGACAGACGAATCTGAACGACTAACGTTAAACGTGTATAAGGCCAGTAAAAACGCTTTGATTGGGCTACAAGATATTGCAAACTGCATTTTTTTGTGTCTGTTTGTTATTGTTTTATTTACGTTAGTAATATAAAAGATAATTTTGGAACACCCCATACCCCTTTATTTAACTTATTTTCGTTTGATTTGATACTATTGGTTGTGCTAATCTACCTCGAAATGTAAATGGCTGTTTTAAATATTTAGTATATTAAACAAAAATGGGAGATTTTATAAACGTTTGAGTAAAAAAAGTTATTATTTTTCGTCAGCACAGAAGTAACTAAATTCTCTAAATGTTGTTACATCTAATTTGAGTGCCTACAAATGTTGCCCTTCATACGATTCACTGTATCTTACGGTAGTTTGCTATTGCCAAGATAAAATTACTAAACGTACATGACATACACATGTCACTATGTGTTCTTTCAAGACATTAGAAGAACATATTAATCTCTATGGAAAACATCACGAACTGACTACTTTATAACGATTTTCAGGTAATATTGGGTTAGACTAACCGAACTCGGCTTGAAATATATTGTACAAGATATAGGTGTCTTGTTCGATTCTATCCGATTTTACGAAGATTATTATCTACAGCTGGTTCACAGTTCTCAGCAGATAATCATGGTGGTAAATGCGACGCGCAACTTAATCCCAAAGCTGCTCAATAGGATTGTGATCCAATGAATGTTGCTTTTTGAACCAGTTTTGGACAATGTGATGGCCATGAAATGTTACGTTATCGTCATAAAATAATTCATCAGAGACCCTTCTTGGAGCAAACAAGATCAGAAACCAACACCCTGAATGCTATTCGTCCTTCCAAAGGGATCAAAGGACGCAATCTATGAAAAGAAAATACTCCTACGATATCACACCACTTCCAACGTCAGAGACCCTTCTTGGAGTAAACAAGATCAGAAACAAACACCCTGAATGCTATTCGTCCTTCCAAAGGGATCAAAGGACGCAATCTATGAATATACAATGTTCCTACGCCATCACATCACTTCCAACGTCAGAGACCCTTCTTGGAGTAAACATGATCAGAATCAAACACCCTGAATACTATTCGTCCTTCCAAAGGGATCAAAGGACGCAATCCATGAAAATACAATGTTTCTACGCCATCACATCACTTCCAACGTCAGAGACCCTTCTTGGAGTAAACATGATCAGAATCAAACACCCTGAATACTATTCGTCCTTCCAAAGGGATCAAAGGACGCAATCCATGAAAATACAATGTTCCTACGCCATCACATCACTTCCAACGTCAGAGACCCTTCTTGGAGTAAACAAGGTCAGAAACCAACACCCTGAATGCTATTCGTCCTTCCAAAGGGATCAAAGGACGCAATCCATGAAAATAAAATGTTCCTACGCCATCACACCACTTCCAACGTCAGAGACCCTTCTTGGAGTAAACATGATCAGAAACAAACACCCTGAATGCTATTCGTCCTTCCAAAGGGATCAAAGGACGCAATCCATGAAAATACGATGTTTCTACGCCATCACACCACTTCCAATGGCTTGAATAACACATGCAAAGCCAAGTGTCTCTCGTAACAGCATACCTGATTTATTTTGCATATGGGAATAAATAGTGTTTTACAAATATATATATATATGTGCGTATCCTGATAAAATGCTCAGCTAGTGTTATGTAAATGCGAAATAAAAATCAGTTATAAAAAAAAAACACTTTCAATTGGTTAAGTGTTTAAATGCTTGATTATTTTCCCCCTCCTTCAGAAAATATAAAACACGACAAAATTCATACACCTAGTAAAAAGGAGTGATTGGTAGAATAATTAGTGCAAGTTAGGCATTAATTATGCTAAAATTAAGCACGTTAATGTTAACACATGTTAAGCTCCGTATTCTTGACTTTTCTTGAAGAGAGTGATTTCTTATATTGAAATCGAATATCTTAATGTTTACTTATCTGGAACGATTATTAATTTTTCCCATCAAAATGAAAACTTACTTTATAATGCTTCAAATGTGTGACAAAACTAATATATTTTTTAACTGAAGACAAAATATTATCTTTAACGTGATTACAGCATTTCTTGTATGGTAACTCTTTCTTCTTTGCTCACTAGGGAAACCTTCTGAACAAACTCAAGAAATATATCCAATCCAGACACGTTGGCAACGGTCAAAGAAGTCCTACAGCCAATGAGAGACCCTTTCCAGTAGTAGAAAAAGACAACGTTGATTGGCTTGTGAAGTTTCCATAATGTATGCCAGACGGTGTCATAAGAATTTCAAAAATGTTCATGTTGTGTTGAGCTAGATCTTTATAACACCCAAAAATCAAGATAAATAATAGTGTTTATTCAAGAAGTTAAGACTATCTAAGTTAATATAGTTTTCAAGTTACGTACAGTAAGTAGAAACCAAATTACAATTTGTTTGGATCATTAATATGTATGTCTTTTGTTAGCCATAAAACTTCACCTGCTTTGTAACGACTAATAGTTGAAGAGAGAATAAACGTTTATCTTGTACGATATATTCGAATGCGACATGAAGAAATCACTTAAGTGCAGTTATATCAGACTGGTCATCAATAGCTATCTGCAGACCTCAGTAAACACACATACCTTTTAACTGTATTGTAGGTAATTAATTTTATGGGTTTCGTGAGAGAAAAAAAAAAGCAATACGTAACAGAAAGCCTCTCCCAAGTCTGAGGGCTTATAACGCCAAAAATCGGGTTTCAGTTGGTAGAGCATGGACAGCCCAGCGTGCAGCTTTGAGCTTAACCACAAACGAACATAGAAAATGTTATTATTATTAATTTATACTTATTTGGAGTCTCTTACTAAGTGTCACATTTTTAAACATCGGTCATAGTTTGAAACCTGATTACTGCACAGAGCTACTTTGAATAGTCTTTATAATTTCTGACTTTTCAAATGTTTATATAGTTATAATCTATTGTGATTAAAAGGTAACTTAGAACATTAACTGGGAACGCGCGGTATGAATAAACAAGGTACCCGGATGATATCTTAGGAAGTTAAGACAGCTTCATAGACTATAAAATAAAATAAAGAAAAAAAAGGATAATGATGGCCTATAATCCTGCAACCAACAGCAACCAACTTATGTTTTTATAATAATAATAATTCAGATTAGATAATATTATACATATGCCTATATTATCTCAATAGCTGGAGTACCCCTCCCCTGGACGGAAGTTATGTAAATTCATGATTACTGAAAGGTTATCTTAGGACATGAAAAGTTGCTTCCCTTATATGTAATTGTAAAGAAACGCCCATAAAAAATGCAAAACACAGAATATGAAACCGAAGTTTGCATGGATCTCTGCATGGACCCAACAAACCTTCTTGCCAAATTTGGATAAAGATCCATCTACAGGGGACGAAATAGTGGTAAAAAACGCCCATAAAAACCGCAAACTAAAAATTTGTATGTATCTCCCCATGGACCCAATGAACCTCCATACCAAATTTGGTGAAGGTCCACCAACAGGAAGTAAAATAGTGGTAAAAAAAACGTGAAAACGTCATAAAAAACGCAAAATTGAAAATTTGTATGTATCTCCCCATGTACCCAATGAATCTCCGTACCAAATTTGGTAAAGGTCCATCCACATCCTGTGAAGTAGTTACATGGACAGACAACAGACAGTACTATTTTATTTATATAGATAATTCTGTCAGGACTCGATGATTATCCCTCAAGCTCCTGACTAGATTATATTATACTTCCGACTGGATTATCCCTCAAGCTCCTGACTAGATTATATTATACTTCCGACTGGATTATCCCTCAAGCTCCTGACTAGATTATATTATACTTCCGAGTGGATTATCCCTCAAGCTCTTGACTATATTATACTTCCGACTGGATTATCCCTCAAGCTCCTGACTAGATTATATTATACTTCTCAATAGGTTAATCCTTACCCCTGAGTAAATTGTATTTGAAATTCTCAGATATGATGTATCTGAAATTTCACTAACTGATTAACTTTATTTAAATTTGTTTGTTTTGGATTTCACTCAAAGCTACTCAAGGGGTATCTGCGCTAGTCGTCCCTCAAGGGGTATCTGCGCTAGTCGTCCCTATTTTGCAGTAATATGCTAGAGGGAAGGCAGCTAGTCAACACTACTCACCGCCAACTCTTGGAATATTCTTGTCTGTTAGACTAGAGGGAAGGCAGCTAGTCAACACTACTCACTGCCAATTCTTGGGCATCTTTTCGAATGAATAGTATGTAGTATTACCCGTCACATCATAATGCCTTTCCCCCCACGACTAAAAGAACGAGCATTATCAAGGGACGGGATTCGAACCCGCGACCCTCAGCAGATCCAATTTATTTCAGTCATCTGTTGAAAACATGCAACTTATCTGACATGATTTTACATATAAAGACAATGATAAACATTCAAAAAGTAATTCACTGTCTTATAAAACATCACTTGTAACAGTACAATAAAGTGTGAAAAAATTAAAATTTCAAAGCTTGACTAAATTTGCAGCTTTTTTTCTTTCAGGTTGTGATAAAGTGTATAAGTGCTAGGAAAACTTCAGTGTTAAGAGTCCATGTTCGCAACATACAAATATAACCTTATAACATGTGCAGTGGTTTTTATGATTCGGAAATTATTAAAAAACGAATTTTACATCCTAGATAATTATAACTTTTATTTTAACTGACGTTTCGCCTTCGTGGCTTCTTCGGGGCTTATACACTGAGTGGTCACAAGTAAATAGACACCTAATTTTTCGTCATTTAACTGATTTATGCTAACTAATTTGTGTTCACAGAGCAATATACAAATGAAAATGGTCCGCACCCTAATTACCTTGTGCTACAACATGCCTAGAACTCAAGGTTCTCTC